TAGTTATCAAACATTTCCTAGTTATCAGACATTTCCTAGTTATCAGACATTACCTAGTTATCAGACATTTCCTAGTTATCAGACATTTCCAGACATTTCCTAGTTATCAGACATTTCCAGACATTTCCTAGTTATCAGACATTTCCAGACATTTCCTAGTTATCAGACATTTCCAGACATTTCCTAGTTATCAGACATTTCCTAGTTATCAGACATTGCCTAGTTATCAGACATTTCCTAGTTATCAGACATTTCCTAGTTATCAGACATTTCCTAGTTATCAGACATTTCCTAGTTATCAGACATTTCCAGACATTTCCTAGTTATCAGACATTTCCTAGTTATCAGACATTTCCAGACATTTCCTAGTTATAAGACATTTCCTAGTTATCAGACAAGTAAATTCATAAAGCTCTCTGTTACATCCTCACTATAATTTTAATATCTTATTGCCATCTTGAAAGATATTCTTGAACATCACAAATATAACGTATAAATGAATGATGTTGAATTTCTTTAAACTTCCCTAAATGTATTTGATATCTTTGAAACTGCATAAAGATAACAATAGAGACCAAAAACTTCATTTAAAATTTAAATTCAATGTAAACCTAAACCTAAAATAGAACTGTGTGTTACAATTACCAGCAAATGAATGTGTATGCAAAAGACTTTTTCTATAAAAGGAAACAAAATTTGTTGGAGCATCCTACTATGTAATGAATTGAACTCGGCTGGAGAGAGATATAGACCATATTAACAACAGTGTAATTACCACTGTTCTGTCACCTAATAAAACACAAACATTCATTATTTAAGCTGCAGCAGAAACTCAACCTGATTCCTATATATCTAAACATTTCTGTGTCTATCACCTTGTAAAATACAAGTCCCCTGTTTTACCATAAAACATTCCTCTCCGTGCAGTACAAGGTTTGGAGTGATGCCAGATGGTAGAAATGGAGGCCATAAAGTAACCGCAGTTCACAATCACTGATATCACCTATCTGAATATATGTTTGATCATCAATACTCAAAATCTGAATACCATCCACTATACCTCAGTTCATAATCACTGATATTACACTTATCTGAATATCTGTTTGTTCATCAACTTTCTAAATCACTCGTATCATTTGTGATATTAGACTTGTCAGAATATCTCTCTAATTATCTTCAATTCTGAATCTGGACCCAGTTTGGTAGACACACCCCTAACCTGACCATTTCAATCCTGAATCTGGACCCAGTTTGGTAGACACACCCTTAACCTGACCATTTCAATCCTGAATCTGGGCACAGTTTGGTAGACACACCCTTAACCTGACCATTTCAATCCTGAATCTGGACCCAGTTTGGTAGACACACCCTTCACCTGACCATTTCATAGCTTTACCAACAAAGTTTACTGATAAATTGTGATAAACACATAAGATTTACAATATACTTCACCACATCAGTGTTTTCCCTTAAACAGACTAAGAAAAATGTTTAATATGAACTTTGGGAAAGGAATCAATATTAAGCTCTAAGCTTGTTTTCCCATCCTGTACGTATGTGTTAAATTGTTGATTATTGAATTAAATATTGAAAATTGAATTACCCTGACTCAGCACGGAATCTCTAGATGACCACTCAGCTACAAAAAGTTAACAATTTCTGATTGGGGAAACATACCTCCAAAGTCACATAGTTCATAGCTTTTTTAATACATGTAAGTATATATATATAGATTTGTCATTTTTATCTTAATTTGAGGTTGTACATGTATTTGACTTTAACGGTTTAAGGCATACAATTTTTATCAGAAATTCATAATAGAATTCCTTAATGAACCTAAATTACCATGTCTGGTCAATGGTTAAGATCCCTATGAACATTCTGTCTTATCAGCAACCTGGCACCCCTCATCATTGATAATGGATTCTAATACTATTTCAAATGGAATGTTCCAAAATTTGTTCAAGGGTATTCAGCATTTATTAGATGATTTGCTGGGTTTCCCCATGTTAAGATAACATCTGTACTCTCAGTAAAAGCTGATTATATTAAACACACAGACAATTAAGTTTGGTATCTACAAATTAGAAAAACAAAGGACTTTAGGCTAAAGTCAGGCATAACATTGGCTTTAACGATGACAACATAAGGTACATGTAGATGACCGAGCCCTTACAGAGAATCTGTCCAGGGAAACATGGCAAGGCATGTCTTACATTGTTCATCACTAAACCCCCAAATTCTAATATCATTCAGTGTGACTCTAGGAAGTAATTTTTAACCCCAACAGCAGCTTACAAACCAGAATTCAGTACAATTACACACTTATAGAGAAGATTACTGATGTCTTTCAACTTTGTCTGATGTCATCCTAAGAACCTTTCAGGTAAATACCATGCTTCTATGCCTTTTGATTAAACAAAAGAAGTTGTTTTACTGTTTTGACAAATTTGACCCCTGTGACATTGAATAAGGGTCAAGGTCATTTCTTTGCACAATTTTTGATTACTTTAAGTTTCATCTTTTTTTGTAGCTTTATTCAAATTTGATTTTGAAAAGGTTTATCTCTTTTCAAGAAAGTCATAAAACTCTGTTCTTTTTTTTTTTTTTTTTTGCTATTTATCTTATTTCCAAGGTTTCCTGAAAAATAACGAATACATATTCAACCCCTCAAAATAAACATTTGCAGTAATTAAAGGGAAGAGTTTTTCCCAATAAAACCATCTCATGGTTCTTCTGATAACTGACTCCAAATTAAAACCACTAAACAGTTTCCCATCATCACCAGTACTTGTACAACAATAAGATCCATCAACCAATCGGAATTTAATTAGAAACCATAGCAACACATTAAGCAGATCATGTGACCAGGTGCTTGTAAACAAAAGCAGAGATGAAGATCTGTGTTTTGTTGTAGTGTGGTACCAGCATTAGATCTTCTGTATTTACCGAGTACACAAAGCCTGCTGGTATATTAAGCAGTGGATTACAAGTCACTTTCTCTTTAATCAACACTGATATCAAAGCATAATCAGTATACATCTAATCCCTGACCCTCAATATTCCAATAAACTTGTCTTAGTCTACATATATCAGTCATAATCCTGGTTTCAAAAATATTCATTTTCATAAGTTTTTTTAACATCTATGTCATTCTAACCTGGAAATGTTTTCTTATGCTACATGTATGAATACAATGGTTTATTTATTTAGCTCTTAGTTATTAATTTTCCTGGTGTGTAGTCCCTATTCCACCTTACCAACAAAACTGATGTTTACACTAATGCAAATGCATGTCATTTAACATATCATTTAAAATGCAGTTTACACACTAGTAAACAACATAAACAATATCTCTTAATTATCTTTTTTTCACAATAGAGATTTGTTGATAAAACCCAAACAGTAGAAACCAGAAATAGGAAAACTAATACTTCCTTTGTTTAATAAAACAATGTCTTTAATTGTGGGATGATTACCCTACAGTATCCCTATGTTGTGAACATAAAACGTTGAAACGAATGCTTCTCAATATCCAAGAACTCAAAAAGTAGTAAAAGAAGCATCCAGACAGACGAATAGAAGGATGGACAGACAGAACCAATTTGAATGACCTATGCAATCCTATGTGAAGGTCTGAGGTGTGTTTGATGCTCACAAGTTTCCAGAGATGTTTGTATAGTATACAATGAAAGGTCTCTCATATGTTTTTCGGTAGGGTAGCCACAAACATATCAATGTCATATTTATTTAGAGTTACAGCATACAGCTGTTTCTATATTAATCAATGATTAAACACTACCTTAAAGTAACCATTCACTTCAACAGCATCACAATCCAGGCAGAGAGCTGATACATAGCTCATCATCACCATCATCATCTGAATGGGCACCTAAAAGGCCAGTATCCTGTTGTACTGCCTTGCAAGGTGCTCATACAGGTGATAAAGAGATGTACTGAATCATTTTCTGGTGACTGGTAATGCTGGTGATGCTGTTAAACACTTACTTCTCTAACTTGTAAAATAAAGAATCCAAAAGCAGTATCAAAGAAATATTTACAATCTCTACATTTATCGGCAACAAATTTCCTGAAAAATATAGGAATGTTTTTCAAAAACTAGGAAAATATAGGAATATAGAAATCTGTCGACAGCCTGAAAAAGGTATGGGGTAACAAACCCAGCAAGAATGTATAGTACAAAGTTCTGTATCACCCTTTTGTATGTGTAGTACATTCTGTCTATAATATATAAAGACATTATCGTGTGGATCATTAAGTAATGGTGTCCCTTATAATACTGATTATTATTGTTTACTTGTTGTTTTACATCCTGGTAGTGTAGGGAAGCTGGACTTCCTGGAGAAAAACTTGCATCTGGTTCTTTGTGAATACCTGCGGTGCAGGGCTAGTGATAAAGATAGACACCTTGACCAGTCAGTCACCAGGGCTAGTGATAAAGATAGACACCTTAACCAGTCAGTCACCAGGGCTAGTGATAAAGATAGAGACACCTTGACCAGTCAGTCACCAGGGCTAGTGATAAAGATAGAGACACCTTGACCAGTCAGTCACCAGGGCTAGTGATAAAGATAGAGACACCTTGACCAGTCAGTCACCAGGGCTAGTGATAAAGATAGAGACACCTTGACCAGTCAGTCACCAGGGCTAGTGATAGAGACACCTTGACCAGTCAGTCACCAGGGCTAGTGATAAAGATAGAGACACCTTGACCAGTCAGTCACCAGGGCTAGTGATAAAGATAGAGACACCTTGACCAGTCAGTCACCAGGGCTAGTGATAGAGACACCTTAACCAGTCAGTCACAAGGGCTAGTGATAAAGATAGAGACACCTGAACCAGTCAGTCACCAGGGCTAGTGATAGAGACACCTTGACCAGTCAGTCACCAGGGCTAGTGATAGAGACACCTTGACCAGTCAGTACACCGACATCCTTCTACAGAGTAATTAAAATCAGAACAGGTCTATGAAAACTTACATGTGCTCCAATCTTTCATCACTTGACTCCTCATTTCTGTAAAAGTGAAAACAAAGACATTCAAATTGTGTTATGTATAATTATCAATCACAGTTAAAGCTGACTTTTTTTAGTTCAGATTTTTAATTTTACAAAATACTTGAAGCAATATTGACAGAAATTGTCCCTAGTAACAATACAAGGCCACAATACCTGGTATTGATTGTCCCTAGTAACAATACACAGCCACAATACCTGGTATTGCTTGTCCCTAGTAACAATACACAGCCACAATACCTGGTATTGCTTGTCCCTAGTAACAATATACAGCCACAATACCTGGTATTGCTAGTAACAATACACAGCCACAATACCTGGTATTTCTTGTCCCTAGTAACGACACACAGCCACAATACCTGATATTTCTTGTCCCTAGTAACAATACACAGCCACAATACCTGATATTTCTTGTCCCTAGTAATGATACACAGCCACAATACCTGGTATTTCTTGTCCCTAGTAACAATACACAGCCACAATACCTGATATTTCTTGTCCCTAGTAATGATACACAGCCACAATACCTGGTATTGCTTGTCCCTAGTAACAATACACAGTCACAATACCTGGTATTGCTTGTCCCTAGTAACAATATACAGCCACAATACCTGGTATTGCTTGTCCCTAGTAACGATACACAGCCACAATACCTGGTATTGCTTGTCCCTAGTAACGATACACAGCCACAATACCTGGTATTGCTTGTCCCTAGTAAAAATACACAGCCACAATACCTGATATTTCTTGTCCCTAGTAATGATACACAGCCACAATACCTGGTATTTCTTGTCCCTAGTAAAGATACACAGCCACAATACCTGGTATTGCTTGTCCCTAGTAATGATACACAGCCACAGTACCTGGTATTTCTTGTCCCTAGTAACAATACACAGCCACAATACCTGGTATTGCTTGTCCCTAGTAACAATACACAGCCACAATACCTGGTATTGCTTGTCCCTAGTAACAATACACAGCCACAATACCAGGTAATGCTTGTCCCTAGTAACAATACACAGCCACAATACCAGGTACTGCTTGTCCATAGCAACAATACACAGCCACAATACCTGGTATTGCTTGTCCCTAGTAACAATACACAGCCACAATACCTGGTATTTCTTGTCCCTAGTAACAATACACAGCCACAATACCTGGTATTTCTTGTCCCTAGTAACAATACACAGCCACAATACCTGGTATTGCTTGTCCCTAGCCACAATACACAGCCACAATACCTGGTACTTCTTGTCCTGGTATTGCTTGTCCCTAGTAACGATACACAGCCACAATACCTGGTATTTCTTGTCCCTAGTAACAATACACAGCCACAATACCTGGTATTTCTTGTCCCTAGTAACAATACACAGCCACAATACCTGGTATTTCTTGTCCCTAGTAACAATACACAGCCACAATACCTGGTATTTCTTGTCCCTAGTAACAATACACAGCCACAATACCTGGTACTGCTTGTCCCTAGTGACATAATCTATAAAACAGCTAAGGATTAGATGTTTCTGTTGACGACAAGCAGTTTCTTTCTCTGAAATATCAGCAAGATTAATACTCTACACTAATCCAGATCAATATGGGAGATGATTTCCATCAGATGTCAATAAAGTGATACCGCAGGTGAACACTGAACATCTACAGAGATTAACATCGACATATGATTACAATAGATAAGGTATTAATACAACCCAACATCTACTGTTAACCTAGCACAATCAGGAAGTTGTGCTTTCTCAGTAATTAAAACTGCAATATTTTGACCACAAACATCACTAAAGTAAGATCATGACATTGTTAACATGCCTGTATTTATATTGTAAGTGATTAGTAGTACAGTTACATAGCATTAGAATTAGAAAATAATTGTTATCGACATAAACATCGTGACAGTTAATTAATATTATAAAAATAACGGAAACACTTTCCCATGAATGCCCTTCATTATAGAGCTAAACAAACAACAACAGTTCATTATACAAATGACTTATTGATTAATCCCGTTTTTTATAGACTTCATAAAAAAAATAAACCTCATCTGTGTACATCACAATTACATGTGAGATATAGCTGTGTTTTACACACGGGGAAAATTCTGTAAACCAGTTGGAAAACCAATTACGCAGTATCTACAACACAGTCCTAACTCTTACACACAGGAACTTGTCACCCAAGTTTGGAAATCTCAAAGATCACAAACTGTTTTACCTTGTGAAATTACAATTATTCTCATTTTATTTGATAGAATATAAAAAAGCTATTTATAGATACTTTTGTATAAAATTTGTCTATAATTTATAACAGAGTGTCATACAGATGTATAAATCACTGAATGAGTACATCTAGGATAACTTAACATCTGGCCTCAATATGATGTAACTATTTACACATTGTACAAACCCTGGCAATCTTGTCAGACAGCTGTTCCTCACACATCTGTTAACACACATAATCATACCTTATATGGTGTTACAATAGTAAATATATTTCTTTTTATATTACAAAGAGGTTTTTATAAACAGTGCTTTAATGCATCATTAACGTAACACTTGATGTCTTATTTGGAAGTAGATGGAGCTGTGACAAGGTAGAGAGGGGTGTGACAAGGTAGAGAGGGATGTGACAAGGTAGAGAGGGGGCTGTGACAAGGTAGAGAGGGATGTGACAAGGTAGAGAGGGATGTGACAAGGTAGAGAGGGATGTGACAAGGTAGAGAGGGGTGTGACAAGGTAGAGAGGGATGTGACAAGGTAGAGGGGGCTGTGACAAGGTAGAGGGGGAGGGGGAGAGGGGGCTGTGACAAGGTAGAGAGGGATGTGACAAGGTAGAGAGGGGGCTGTGACAAGGTAGAGGGGGATGTGACAAGGTAGAGAGGGGTGTGACAAGGTAGAGAGGGGGCTGTGACAAGGTAGAGGGGGATGTGACAAGGTAGAGAGGGGGCTGTGACAAGGTAGAGGGGGGCTGTGACACGGTAGAGGGGGATGTGACAAGGTAGAGGGAGATGTGACAAGGTAAAAGGTGATGTGACAAGGAAGAGGAGGATGTGACAAGGTAGAGGGGGATGTGACAAGGTAAAAGGTGATGTGACAAGGAAGAGGGGGGTGTGACAAGGTAGAGAGGGGTGTGACAAGGTAGAGAGGGATATGACAAGGTAGAGAGTGGTGTGACAAGGTAGAGGGGGATGTGACAAGGTAGAGAGGGGTGTGACAAGGAAGAGAGGGATATGACAAGGTAGAGAGGGGTGTGACAAGGTAGAGGGGGATGTGACAAGGTAGAGAGGGGGCTGTGACAAGGTAGAGAGGGGTGTGACAAGGTAGAGAGGGATATGACAAGGTAGAGAGGAGTGTAGAGAGGGGTGTGACAAGGTAGAGGGAGATGTGACAAGGTAGAGAGGGTGTGACAAGGTAGAGAGGGATGTGATAAGATAGAGGGGGATGTGATGAAGTAATGGGGTTGTGACAAGGTAGAGGGGTTGTGATGAAGTAAAGGGGCTGTGACAAGGTAGAGGGGTTGTGATGAAGTAAAGGGCTGTGACAAGGTAGAGAGGGATGTGGCAGGGTAGAGAGGGATATGACAAGGTAGAGGAGACTGTGACAAGGTAAAAGGTGATGTGACCAGGTAGAGGGGTTGTGATGAGGCAGCACAGGAAGTGAAAAGATAGAGGAGGATGTGATGATTTAGAAAGGCTGTGATGAGGTAGAGGGAGTTGTTTAAAAATTCTTGTTTCTAATATTTCTGCATAAATGATTGTTTCAAACTACATACATAGCTAATGAGTGAACTATGTTTTAGTACCAATAAATTTTATAATGAAGCAGTTACTTTTGGCTAATTTTTAACTTAGTTTATGTCTATGACAATAACAGTATTTATTGCCAAGCTAGTGTGGGTAGTGCAGCTAATACTGATTCCAGTCTATTACAATTTCCTCAAGATATTTAAAAAGATTTTTTTTATGACTTTTTAATAACTATACAAGTGACAAACAGTGTATTTAGATGATTTTGGGTTTGAGGTGAACCACAACATTTTTACAAGTTATCAACAGGTCAGAGGTTACAGAGAAACACTTCCGAGTAATTATCAAGCTTCCCATTGTTCTGTGTCAGGGGCCTGGTACAGACTGTAATAGGTCCATTCACCTACACATCACACAAACAGCCTGGTACAGAATGGTCCATTCACCAACACATCACACAAACAGTCTGGTACAGTCTGTAATATGTCCATTCACCAACACATCACACAAGCAGTTTGGTACAGTCTGTAATAGGTCCATTCACCAACACATCACACAAACAGTCTGGTACAGTCTGTAATAGGTCTATTCACCAACACATCACACAAACAGCCTTGTACAGACTGGTCCATTCACCAACACATCACACAAACAGCCTGGTACAGACTAGTCCATTCACCAACACATCACACAAACAGTCTGGTACAGTCTGTAATAGGTCCATTCACCAACACATCACACAAACAGTCTGGTACAGTCTGTAATAGGTCCATTCACCAACACATCACACAAACAGTCTGGTACAGTCTGTAATAGGTCCATTCACCAACACATTACACAAACAGTCTGGTACAGTCTGTAATAGGTCCATTCACCAACACATCACACAAACAGTCTGGTACAGTCTGTAATAGGTCCATTCACCAACACATCACACAAACAGTCTGGTACAGTCTGTAATAGGTCTATTCACCAACACATCGCACAAACGGCCTGTCACAAAGGTTCATTCATGAACACATTAGACAAACATCTGGCTGCACTTGGAAAAAATAACTCCACAATGACTGTCATTATACATGTGTGACTCCCCGATACTCTCCCACATGTAATTACCCTGAGATTACCATAAGTACATCATTATCATTTGATCTTTGAGTTCAGATTCTCAAAATTACTGCAGTCTATTACAAGTCTGACTTCATCTTATCTGAATGTATGAAATTTTTGTGGTGTTCATGAAAGTT